GCTACATCATTAAATCACTCAGATCAACATCTTGATCCTCCTGCGGCAATGGCAGCACCGCGCCACCACGCCCAGCTTTTGTTCAGGTTCTACAGGAAGAAAAAGTCCTGCACACCCAACTAAATCTAACAGATGGCTAGAAATGCTACACACGCTGGGAAACATTGGAAAAATGGCGATTCTCCCCTAAATCAATATATACTCATTGGAATTCCAAAGGAGACCTTTTGGAGAAGCTTAAAATAATTCTAAAATGTATGTGAAAGAGAAAATACAGACTAGCCATGGCAAGTCTGAAAACAAGGATATTAAAACCGTAAAATTAGTAATGTAAATTTAAAAGATCAATGGAAAAGGAAAAGCTAAGAGCTTTTAATGTTATCAAAGGGTTATTCAGGTTGGTGGAAAAAGATGACAGTGGGGTTGGGGAAAATGGAAATAGGTTCAAACTTCCTATCACTGAAAACTAAAAACTACATTTCAGGTGAGTGAAGATGAAGAAAAAAAAGTCTTAGACTGTTACATGATAAAAAATATTTAAAACTTTGTCCTCAAGTGGTTGAGTTAAACAAGATACAAAAATAAAGAAACCTACAATTGATAAAATCTGACTTCTAAAATGATCACGTCTGCATAAATATCTTATGCAATGAAAACCTTGCAGTGGAACAAAAACAGACACACACCAACGAGGCCTTTTCGGCTTTCTATGAGAACATGCACGGCAGCTTTATTCATCACTATCTTAGACCGGCGAAAGCTCGGGGGCCCACGAGGACGATGGACTGCCTGCTTGTCACTTCAACATGGATCTCAAAAACGTAACACTGAGCAAAAGAAACCAGACACAGGTGACCACATCCTGGATGAGCCCATTCGTAGGACGCTCAGAAACAGGCGAAGCTAATTTATGATGGTGAGAACTCAGGTCAGAGGTCACTCCTAGGGGTGGGCAGGGAAGGACCCCAGGCCAGGACCTGGAGGGAACTCTCAGAAGTTATGGTGATGTTTTTTGCCTTAGGTGACAGCTGTTTCTTCAGTTAAAACTTAGTGAATGATACATTTAATACATACAACACTGGAGGTTTTATTTTGTGCAAATCTTATCACCAATGAAAAGTTGTGAGAAAGTGGACTATGAAGGACATATATGTTGCCTATTCAGGAATAAGGTCACTAATGACAACAATTCACTTCGAAACATCCTCCTCCCAAAAGATTTTCTAAGGGGTGGATGGATGGACAGCCAGAGCAGCAAAGGGTAGAAGCTAGGCAGTGAGTGCCAGGAGTCCTCTGTAAAATTCTACTGATATTTCTGTTTAAAATTTTTATAGCTGGGTATGGTAGCTCACACCCAAAACCCTAGCACTTGGGGGGTTAAGGCAACAGCATCGCCGAGTTCAAGTCCAGCCTGAGGCTCTAAGACCAAGTAAGACCCTGTCTCAAAAATTTTGTTCTTGGGGCCGGGGAGATGGCTCAGTAGAATAAGCGCTTCCCTAGCAAGTGCAAGGGTCTGAGTTCAATCCCTGGTTCTGAAAAAAAAAAAATTCTTCTTTGTAATAAGAAGTTGGGGGATAAAAGATAAATGATTAAAGGATAAACATTTCTAGCACATAAGTTTTTTGTTCACAATATATGAAGAGTTGATCATCAATAGGAAGAGAAAAATGCAATTAAAAATAAGCATAATCCTTAAAAACTAAACATAATCCTTAAGAAAGGGCAAATGCTGATGCCTGTCAGTAAAATCAACAGATTTAAAAAAAAAAAAATACCACCTCCCTTTTCACCCACAAACTGAGAGTAATGTGTCAGCAAGGGCCAGGGTTATGCTTGTCAGCTAGTGGTGGTGGTGAAGGGGGCAGTCACTGGCCACAACCGCATCAGCCTGGAGGCCAATTCGCTGCCTCCCTGGGAGCAGGGAATAGGGTGCTGCTTAACAGACCTTCACACCCACGCCTGAGTGCCCGCTACAGTGGCTGGAATCACTCCAGGTAGGAAGATCCTACACCTGTTGAAGTCAGAACTACGGACGAAGTTATAGCCTTTATTGGGGAGGCTGAGGCAAGAGAATTGCTGTGTGTTTGAGGCCAGCTTGGGTTACGTAGGGGGTTCAAGGCCAGCCTGAAGCTGAGACCGTCTCAAAAAATAAAACCCCAAAACCAAAAGAAGAACCCAGCTGCATTTATAGAAAATGCAAAACCACTGTGGAAGTATGAACACACACACACACACACACACACACACACACACACACACACAGAGTGTAGGTAAAAGACAAAAGGGTTTGGAAAAATGCAAGCGTGATGAGGAGATAGACAACTGAGGGTGGCAGCTAGAACTTGATTTGAAATGTGATTTAAGATATAATTAATAGGGCTGGGGAGATGGTTCAGTAGGATAAGTGCTTGCCTGGCAAGTGCAAGGGCCTGAGTTCTATCCCTGGTATAATAAAATATATAAAACTGCATTTGTGTATTACTCACTCAAAAGTAGGAAAAAGAAATCCTAGGTTAAAACCCAGCTCAACACTTTGCCAATACCTATTTGAAAAAGGCAAATTATGTCCTTACTTGGGATCTGATGACTCGTGTCCCCAGAGCAGGCTTTCATTTCCTGGTCCCAGTTCAGTTCGTCCCCACCGGGCACTGCAGGCGCAGATCTCAGGTCATCCTTTGGGACAAGCTGTGGTCCGTTCCCTCGGACACCAAGCACTTGCAGGTGACCCCTTGGTCCCGGAACTAGTCCTGTGCACCATCCCTTTCAGCTCCCACTCGATTTCCTTTTGCCCGAGACCGTGGGATCAGACAGCAGCGCCCGCCAGGCCCGGGGCTGCCTGCCTGCACTCAGCCTGAGTCATACCCGACCCCGTGAGCAGACGACTTTGCCGTCCATCCCACCAGCCACTCCAAAATTTTAAAGCATGTCTTGCTCTTAAATATACTACACAGCATGTCCTCAAGCAAGACGCGCTCCACCTCCAAGATACCTGTGAGAACTGATACAGGGCAGACGTGTGGTACGCGAATCCAGTGTCATCGCCGCTCGAGAAAACAAACCAAATGGCTCACCAAAAAACTAGTTGAAAGTTTTATTTATATAAAATTCATTAAGAACATAAAAGATTGAGTTTCTTAAAAAAATCTGCAGTTATTTACAGCAGTATTGCACAAGTAAAGTGGCAATTACCCTGTCAAAATTTGTCAGTGCAAAACACAAGTAAGCCAGGGAAATTGCGATACAAATGCTACATATGCTGGGTCCTAGGAAACGTGCTGATGGATCAGTATACAGGCGGATCAGTGCTATTTATAAATGGGTAGGTACCTGATGGGTCCGGATACAGTAACTAGTGGTCACAGAACCGGGATGTAAAACCTAACAGCTCCTAAAGACTGAGATCCCCAAATGAAAGTAGTCAAGTTACTTAGGTGGGGCTTGGAGGATGTTTCTTTCATACAAAACTGCTTGGGGCAGACCCTGGCTGATTTAGCGACACGTGTGGTCACAACCTCGGGCACACAGGCTCAGGAGCCGAGGGGACACACACAGGCACCAGGCTCAACCAGCAGGGGTCGGTGGCAGAAGTATGTCCCCAGTCCTGCCAAAAGTCCCCAGGGCCTCTCTGAACCTTTTTGTCTGGACACCCAGCAGGGTCCCAATCTCTCTTGTTGCAGGGGACAGGGAATCGGGAAGTGGACACGGACCTGAAACAGTAGCTCACCAAACGCAGTGACCGGATACTGGGGGATGGCATCTTGCCGGCTTCTGAAGATGAAGGGCTTGGTCCACCCACACCCCAGAGTACAGGAGCCTGCGCAGCAGGTGGGGAGAACTCACTCATCAATGGGCAACAAGGGACCCAAGGTCCCTTGAAAGCAGGAGCCACATGTCCCACCTGTGCCTTGCCCTGGACAACCACATGGCGGCAACCCCAAAGGTGGCACATTTTTCTTTCAACACTGAGTTGTCAGGGATAAATTTTCAATGGAAAAATCTTCCCCATCTGCTAATACTTTTATTTTTTATTAAAGATATGGCCTGCAGTTAGCAAATATGCTTCTATGAGAAGCTAGAGGCTTTGGAACAAACAGAAGGTTGATGGGATTTCTAGGAGTAAAGATAAAAAAAAAAAAAAAATGTTTAGAGACAGAGTCTCGCTGTGTAGTCCAGGCTGGCCTTGAACTCACTATGTAACCCAGGCTGGCCTCAACCTCGTGGCGATCCTCCTGCCTCAGCCTCCCAAGTGCTGGGATCAGAGGCATGTATCTCACCTGGCTCTTGGGAGTAAAATTCTGAAGCCTTCCAGTTTTGGTTAGCAAAGCCCAAGAGCTGAACACCAAGGAGCAAAGCTGGGGGCCTCATCAGGGGACATGGTCTGCACACACTAAGCTGCTGCCTCCCACCTCAGGATCTGAGGCAGCCCTGGGGCAGCAGGGAGTGGGGTGGGGGTTGTCAATGTCAACACTTTCAAGAATTTAAGACATTAAATAAGCAGAAAATAAATATACAATATTTCTACAAGTTACAGCATTATGAAACAGTAGGACACATTACACAGAAAAAGAATCTACAATATTTACAATCCTTGATTCTGTAAAAGGTTTAGAAAAACAGTGATTCTTTTACTCATTTAAGCTATACAAAACTTTACAAGAAAAGTATAGGGAACACAATTGCACACAAACATTGGCTCAGTTGGTAAGTAAAATATAACCTAATCTAATAAATAGACAGAAACATGTACAATATTCAGGGGAAACAGGAGAACACCGTGTTCTACCACATATTTCTTTAAAATCAAAAGGAATTTAAAATTGGCTTTGCAGCACCCACCCCCATTCTTCATTAACTCGTTTCTTGGCAGGAAATCCAAAGAATGAGCCTGAAAGCCATCTTGTGTTTATTGCATCTGGGTGTGAAGTCACAGGACACTTTTTACAAACCTCACATGGAGAGGTTATCAAGGCACAAAACCCGCATCACTTTTTTTTTTTTTAAAAAAGGATCTACAAAAAAGTTTTAAAATAATAATAAGCATAAAAGTAAAAGGTATACCCCACTAAGGAGGCTTTCTACAGGGAGGCATAAACAGATACAGTACAGCGACAACCAGTCATCCCTCAAGTTCTGGGGCCAGCATCCTGATCTTTAACACTTCTACAATTCCTAGAATCACCTACATCCTTGGGAGCCGCTTCCTCCGCCAGCCTGGGGGCTCAGCGGCCCCGTGCAGAGGTAGGCACGCTCATGGGCGGATGCCCGGCCCTGGCCCCACCACGCTCCCGGGGCGCCGCAGGACTTAAGAAATGTAAAGTGCTCTGGTCAGAGAGGCTGGCGCCGAGCACGGAGATCTGGGAAGCGGGGGCCCAGAACAGGTCTTTGGTGTGTGTGTGTGTGTGCGCGCGTGTGTACGTGGGTGTGTGTAGGGCCGTGACTGCAACCCAACACCATCACCACACAACTGTGGGCTGTGTGGGACCCTACAGGTGGGCTCAAAACACATCAAGAAACACACTGAGCTCCAATAGAGATTTCAAAATATTTAAAACTCAAAGGAGATTTTAGGGGAAAAATGTTTAAAAAGGAAGAATATATGGAATCAAATCACCTCTACTTAAAGGAAAAAGTATATAGACAATATATATATACATATATACACATACATATACCTATATACACACACGTATATAAATTTATTAAGATACAAATGGATTTTTTCCCTCTTTAATTTAATGTGAATACACTGGTCCCGTCAGGCAAAAAGCAAATACCACAGCTGTTGGGCACTGCTGGTGTGTTGGAAAACGCCTGTATTCCTTTCAGAAGGTTATTTAATGATTAGTTTTCAAAAATCATCAGATTTTACAGGGTCCAGACTCCTTCCCTACGCCTCATCTGTCTCTTGGGTTGTCCAGTGGCTGCCCGATTGTCCTTGTTTAGCTCATTGGCTTTTGACACGTCTGACCCATGTGTGGATGTGGGGGTGGGCCCTGCAGAAATCCAGGGGATGGCAGGGGGAGGCCCCAGCGGCCTGGCAAGATCCAGGTGTCCTAAGAGAATGAGCCAAGCAAAAGGAGATGCCTCCGAGGCTCAAGGACCATCTCGGCCTCTGCCCAGCACTCTACGGCACCGGAGAGAGGAGGACTAGGTCTATTTCCAAGCAAGCGCAGAGACGCGGGGCGCGGGATCGCAGCCCAGGGCCCTGCGCTGCTCTCTACGCTGGTGCCTGGGAGCCGGCCATCTGACGCCTGTCCTGACGCGTGGGAATGGCACCCCCGGGACTGGGTGCAGGGCGAGCCCTGTGCCTTCGGGGTGTGCAAAAGTGGCCACTCAGCCTGTCGTCACTGCTCTTGCTGCCACCAACACCTAACGCCAAGAGCAGTCAACACTGAGCATGTCCCCAGCAGTCTGCTAGCGACAGACAGACAGACGACAGACAGGTTGGGCAGGACATAGGCACGGGCTAACTGGCTCTGAGGCGAGGACACTTAGGAAAGCACCCTGCGGAAGACCTGCCGGCCAGCCCTGACGCACCTAGTCACAGATGAGGGTCGGCAAAACCGTGTGGAGCCAGCGGAAACTTTGCCCTCGACAAAACTGAATATGAGGAGGTAAATAGATATTTACAAGATGGGAGTGGTCCACCCTCTACCCCTTTAATCAGTTCTATTTCATAAAAACTCTTTTGGTATTAATAATAATTAGAAAAAGTTCAAAGAACTTTGAAGAAGGTGACGTATCACACCTCTCTGCCTTTTTTAAAAAATGTAATCTAAAAATAAACCAAGTCAGCATTATAAATTAGCTGGCTCAGTTTCCACTGCTAGGATTACACAATCTTCTGAGGTTCTTAAAACTTTAGTACAAAAATCATTCACTAGTTGGTTAAAAAGTTTCCATTTCCTTTCTGAAAAAACCTGTTATTAGAGAAGGTGGAAAAAAAAAAAAAAAAAAACAAAAAAAAACCCACATCCACACACGGCATGTAAACACCATTCTGGCATACTCCTGATCCAAAGAACCATGATTTTGTACATTAAGGAAAAAATGAAAGTAAGAAAAACCCTCCCTCATTTACATTCACAACAAACTTCTACTGGAAATTCTGCCCTGTGGCGAGGCGCACAAGGTCAAGTTCACATCCAGGGCCGCCGGGTGCGCGCTGCCTGCCTTCTGCACACCGCCAGGGGAAGGACCTGTGGCCACGTGGCAGTGGCCCAAGAGCCCGCGGGCCAGGCCTGTCGGGTGGCACGGGCGAAATGTCTGAAGGTATCTTGGCTCTGTGATGAGGACCCTGTCAACGCATTCTCCACACCAGGCGGACAATGTAACGTAACAGTCGCAAGATAACCATCTGGGGATGGTCTTCGGCGGGTTGGTGTTGATTCAAGAATACCTGAAACAATAAAAGTGAAGCCTGTTAGTTCTTCCGGAGGTTGGCAAGGAAGGTGGGCGCCCACAATGAAGCGAACAGCAATGGCGGCAAATGGCTCCAGGAGGCCTTTCTCCTCGAGATGGAAAGCGTGAAGGGCGGCCTTCCCTGGGCAGGTTTTCTTCTGCTAATGGGAGAGAAAGGGCAACAACCAAAAGAACACTGAAAACCTCAAGGGGATTCTTGGACCTCAACATTCCAGTGTCGTCGACACAGGTGTGCGGCAAAAACCACTTCCTGTCACAGAGCTGGAGTCCCCAGGGGAGAGGCAGGGCGGAGAGGAAGGGAAGGAGCTGGCAGAGGGAAAGGATCTTGCTATCCGCATTCACTGACATTCAAATAAGTTTCAGACTCCCTCAGGGGCAAACTTCTGGTAGTTGTAATTTATTTAAGAAACCAGTGATTTGGGGTAATTTGCCCTAAGAAGCTAAATAAAGTGGTGCTGCTATGTGCCACTGTGCTGTGACCTGGCAGGGCGCTCGCGGGCACAGACGCGAGGCTGAGTCACCCCCTCCCCACGTCTGGGGAGGAAGGAGCAACTAAGGGTGAAAAGGCGCCTTCCCGCTGGTCAACAGCGACCACCTTGTGCCCGAGGAAACCACGGGGCATCTGAAGGCATCAGATCCTCAGGTCACCCAGAGATGGCCCCTGGGTTCTAGTTCACTGCACAGCTTAAATGCAAAGCATAAATTAGGAGAAGCAAGAAAGGCAGGGAACGGGACGCCTCTGTCTTGAGCCCCTCTTTTCCTGGCTCACCTGAAGGTCTGAAGTTGGCCTTGCCACACTCTGCCGGCTGCAGGACCCCCTCTCCCCATGGGAAGTAAGTCCAAGGCGCAGTCTTGGGAACCACAGGCTATGAGTCAGGCGGGGACACTGCCTGTCCCCTTGGCCCAGAACGTCCCCCCAGACACGCCAGCCACGGCGGAGCTCCCCCTCGCCTCTGTTTACACACGCTCTCGAGCGCCTGCTCAACACAACGGGACGTGATAAGGCCAGGGCATTTCCCCTTTTCCTTCCATAACAAGGCGGGAGGAAATCAGCTTTATGTCAGCGATTCCTGTGGAGGCGCTCCGTAACCACAGTCTGCGATTTTTATCGACTTTACACATAAGATTGCTTTGTTTTGATTTAACTTTCAAAATTACTTTGCTCCTTCTTGTGTGAGAAAAATTAAGGGGAAGGTTAATTTTGGTGCAGAGTAATATTAATAGGTTGAAAGAAGCTTATTCAAAATAAACCACAGCTTACTAAAATGAAGAAAGTGCACGCTGGATGGACTGAACCACCAATCCATGGTGAGAGGTCTCAGGCCAACCCTGTGTCAGTCACCACCAGCCCGTGTCCCCAGGGAACGAGGCTGCCTGCACGTCCCTGGGCAGACCAACAGCAGCAAGAGGGCTGGGTGGCCCTAGGGACAGGTCCCAACTGCTCATACTTGGCAGCATCCAGGGGAGAAATGTGCCACCCCTTGAGGGGGCGCGGGGGTAGCTGATGCAGGGACTCCTGGCAAAGGAAGAAAAAATAGCTGCATCTCCCTCTAGGATGGTGGGGGACAGACAACACGATGCGGCATGTGCTCTGTGCAAGCCAATGATGGCTTTTCAACATGCAACCCTGACTGAAAGGGTCGTGCCAGTCCAGCAAGCCCTAAACACCTGGCCCAGGGCTCATGGTCCACACTGGAGAAAATAGCCAGAGGACGGGCTCCTGCTCTTCAGCTGGCTGTCCCAACACCCTGGGCTGCACACTCAGTGTGGCTGCCGGAGCATAGCCTGGGCCTGGTGGTGCCAGTGGGGCTTTGCAGGTGGCCAACAGTGGAGCTGACTCAGCGGCCGTGATGTTCCCCAGCAGGGACTTCGGTGTTGAGTGACCTACGGGGTGGGGGTGAGCTCCAGGTGGCACAGACCCCATGGTTCTGGGCAGGATGATACATCCCAGACAGAACACGGAATTGGGCCTGTAATTATGATTACTGCATGGTGGGGAAATGAGTTAGCTGCTGGGGTGTGGGAGGCCCAACCAGAAATGGCCATGGGGAGCTCCTGCTGGGGCTGCCACACAACAACAGGAGAAATGCACCCAGGGCAGCAGCTCTACAACCTTCTTCCTGGTCCCTCCCTGCAGGGCCACCCTGGTCAGTGGCTCCTACTCAGCTCCAAGGGCTGTCTGCGGGCCAAGGGTGCACTTACACCCCATCATGCCTACCTTGGACAGTATAAAAAGGCACCATCATCCTAATCAACAGCACCGGAAAAAAACAAAGAACCGAGAAGTGCCATCTCTCTTGGGACGCTTCTGGTTCCCTTGGCGTGGGCTGGACAGTGGCCCCAAATTCACACACTCAAAATATGACCAGATGGGAGGTGGGGTCTCAGGAAAGTGACCAGGATGAGCCTAGGTGTCCACAGGAGGAGTCAGGGAAGATTCACAAGGACAACCACATCAAGACACGGGGAAGGTGGCCACGTAGAGGCCAAGGAAAGGGGCCTTGGGCTCCAAGGCTACGAGGGCACAGTGCTGTGTGGCTTGGCCACTTCCCCCCTCGCTGGTGCTTTGTGCTGGTGGTGCTAGCAAACCTTCCACTCTCCCTCTGCCACTGTCCATGTGAAAACACCACCTCCAAGAACAGACCTGGGTACCTCTGTTTCAGTCCCCATGCTCAGAAAACATCAAGGTCTGTTACACTGGTGCATCTGGATGAAGACGGTTACTTAAAAGAAAAAAAAAAAAAGAAAGAAACACCTCAATCTTCTCCTAAGTGAAAACAATTGAAGTATCCATATGTAGCAGCACCCTCCCTCCCTACACAGACAGACAGACAAGACAGACAGACAGACAGACAGACAGACAGACAGACAGACACACACACACACACACACACACACACACACACACACCCCATGTCCCAAGTACCCTGGAGTGGCACCCCTTCCTGCTGGGAAATTTTATCTCTATGCTCTATATCAGTAGCTATATCAAGGCCGGGTATTTGGGGCAAGTGACTTTCACAGAGGTCCCACACGTCCCCGAGGCCTCCCCACCAAAGCTCCTTCCTGCCTGACACTGTGGGCTGGTCTCACAGTACCTGTGTGTCCCCCAGGCCTCCCCGTGATCCCTGTGTCACCAGCCCAAGATAATAAACCCAATTATATGACAGGAACAATAGAGAGGTAAATGAGACGGCAGAGAGCAGAGTGTGTCTGGGAAGGTGGGTGGAGGAGCCGGGCAGGAGGGCACCAGGGCTAATCCTCCTTGGACCCTGACGGCAGTGAGCGGCCTCTGGGCTGGAACTGCGCTCCGGAAGGGCAAACAGCCGGGGACGTAGAGTAAGTGGCAGGAAGGGATTTGATTTCTCATAATAAACCGAGATGAATGATGACCGAGCTGTAGGATGGTTCCCCCACGGACTCATCCCCCAGTGGAAAGACAGGGCCTGGTGTCTCTAGGGTGCTCCAGGGACACCACAGGCGTTCTGCTCTTAAGATGTAAAATGCCTCCATCTCTATAGCAGTGTTGGCAGTGTGCCTGCAGGGACTCCCACACACTGATGGGGTGGGCGGGGTCATGGCAATGCCCTTGAGTGGGGTTCGAGCCCACTTCCTAGGGGAACAGCTGGTGCAGAGAAGACCACTGAATGGGGACAGCAGCATGGATGCCCCAAGATGCACCCCACGGGGCAGGAGGGGGACTGGAGGCAAGCGGAAGCTGACCTGCAGCCCCAGCTCTAGAGCCATCCTTCCAAGATATGCATGGGACAGCCCATCTAGTGCACAGAGAATTTAACTACATCTTAATACCCAAAATTTACAGTGAAACAATGCTCTCTTGCTCTATCAGGGGAAGCAGGTGCTTGGAAACAAAAGGGAACTAGACTCTAGGTTGCCCGAGGCGCCTGGCCAGGGGGCACTAGCCACCCACAGGGGCAGCTCTTAGTTTGGCTTCCTTCTCTTGCAGAGGGAGACCACAGAGGGAGATGGGCTTTGTTCTGAAGAGGTCAGCTATTGTAGAGCAGCCTTTCAAACCCTGGGTGCCCAAGCTTAGGGACAGAATTACCTAGTGCCGCTGCTCAATGAAATGACGTGGCAGATATGCCAGTGTAGCTCTCCCCACTCTGACTGGCTGGAGGAGGCGGGCTGGGATACGCCCCCAGTCTACAACCCCTGCCAAGAACCCACCAAGCGCCGTGCTCACGCTCCCAAAATGGAGATGTAACATGGGCATCAGCATGACTGAGACAGGAGCCCAGCCACCTTCCTCCTTTGGCACAAGCCTGGAGCCTGGGCAGCCCCTCATTCTTCCGAGAGGAAGGAAGCTCTGCTTCGGACTGGAAGCATGCCTCAGAGTACGCCGTGAAGGGAGAAGAGGCCCCAGCAAGTGATTCCAAAGCTCAGCTCACAGTCTGTCTAGCCAGTGCAGGTGACAAGCCCACGAATCTGGGCTCCACCAGCAGGGCCAAATAAATCCATGATGGGGGGAGGAGTGTGCAGCGAAAAACAGATGTGCACGGCACGATAAAAGCAAAGGTCAAGCGAAATCAGAAATCACATCAAGAAAGACTCATCCGAGCACCAAAGTGAGATTCAAGCAGCAGAAGTAGGTAGGAGTCTCCCGGCAGCCAACGTAACAAAGGAAATGTGCCAGTATCTGCATCATCCTATCAGAGCTGGTTCAATTCTATATTCTCAGAAACAAAAAGGTCTGGTGCGGGGCTAGGTTAACAACCCAGACGCAGAGGAACTTAACTCGATCAGGAACAGGCTTCTCGGCATTTCAACCCTGAAGCCCAAAGGCATCTTACGCTTTCCCCTTCCTATGTAGATTTATTACTAAGAAGTGGTAATGCTCTAGGAGACTGAATTCTGGACTGCGGACCGACGGAGGACAGAGGGAATCTGCTCTAGATCCTGGCGACTGTGAAGGTGATGTCCGCTCCTCTAGTGCTCACGAGGAGCACGCAGAGCCCT